CAAACATCAGAGGTTAGACAGTCGGCTCTCTTGTAAAAGCACGTTCCCCCCCCCCCCCCCCCCCCCCCTAGCTGCCTTCTGCCAGTTGGCCCATCCCACTATGGTGTGCGGCATGTCCCTGGAGCTCCTCCCCGGCACAGCACTGCCGGGCAGTGCAGCCCCTTGTCTCCCCTTCCCTGGGTCCATGGCCTGCTGTACACAGTGAGGGCCTTTCCCCAGAGATCCTCTCCCTCCCGGCATGTCACTGCTGGGCTAGTGTGGCCCCCCTCTTTACCTCCCCGAGCCTGCAGTCTGCTGTACGGTGAGGTCCGGTCACCATGGAGATGGAGTACAGACTGCATTGGTTGCCCTGCAGATGCTGGGAGTTGTAGTCCGTTCTCTATGTACCCGGATGTACAGTGTTTCTACAGATCGGACGGTTTGTTACTCGGGGGGACCTTGCTGGACCTTTCAGGCTTTATGGAGGTTGGAGGATGCCCGGGAGTCGGAAGAGACCACCATACAGGGAGCGGAGATTCCACCGATATCTGTCCTCATATAATCCACTGAGAGTATGACCTATACTGGCTCTCTTGTAAAAGAAATCTGAGTGGCTAACTAGCTGCTGGATTGCTTCTACAAGCAGTGAGGGGGACGTCCTGCCGCCTTCCGTGGACTTTCCTGTCCCACTGGGACACCCAATCGACCACCCAGCGCTTACGCTCTCTGATCATAATGGTAGACAAAGACCCGAACTGCTGTGTCTGCCTCCATGATATAGGAAGCTATGAGCATACATCACATCCAGTTTCCCCAGATGTAAACAGCGCCATTTTTTTAAAAAAGCAAAGCATTTAATCACACTGATCTTGGCGTGATCAAATGCTTTATTGGCAGAGGAGGGATGTCCCATTCCCCCGTGCTCATACGTAAAGGCAATCGCATACGTTGGTCCTGCAAACAGTGATCTTCCCATACATGTAAGATATCACTGCAAACGTCAGATAATGGGCATTTGTTTTGTCACCAGACCTCCTCTGTAAATCTAAAGTGGTAACCTGTAAAGACTTATAAAGCGTTGCCTATGAATTGTAAAATTTACGTAATCTGTTGCTACTGCACACGCATGTGCTATTTTAAAGTGTGACACGTTTGATATCTATTTACTTGGCGTAACATCATCCTATTTATTTTACCAAAAATTGGGCTATATACTGTGTTTTTTTTTTTTCCATTACAATTCAGAAAAAGTGTATTTTTGTCAAACAAATTGCATTTGCAAAACCACTGCGCAAATACCGTGTGACCTAAAAAATTGCAACACCCAACGTAGGAGCCCTGGGCCAAATACATGAATGTTGTTTTGTGACTGCTCCTCTTGGGAGATGGGGATGGGAACATCCTTGGCATCTCTATCTGGACCTGTCTTCCTGTCTTTTTCTCTCTCCTTTCCTTTTTCTCTTTCCACTCTGGTATCCTGATATCAGTTTCTAGTACTGAGAAGGATATCTCAGGGAGCTGTCTGAGGTGTCTTTGTTTTAGGGGGGGTAATTTGAACGGTTGTTCTGGGATATTGAGCACCGCCCTCCCTAATTCTATGTGTTTGGGTGTGAATTGACTTGCTTTGGAACTCAAAATTATGTGATTTTGTACACTCTCATGTGTTATTTACTACTTTACTACTTGTCATGTACCAGCCTGATTTGACACTATTGATGGATAGGTGTTATGTTGAAATCTCAATAAAAATTGAAAGTAAAAAAAAAAAAAAAGCAACACCCACCAATTTATTCTCTAGGGCCTTTACTTTAAAAAAAAATAATCACTCACCAGCCACTTTATTAGGTACACCTTGCTATTGCCAAAAAAATATCCCCCACCTCATTACACCACCACCACCACCAGCCTGAACCGTTCATACAAGGCAAGATGGATCCATGCTTTCATGTTGATTGCGCCAAATTCTGACACTACCATCAGAATGTCACAGCAACCAGTCTGCAGATTCTCCTCTGACATCAACAAGGCATTTTTGTCCATACAAGCTCATTGGAAATTTCCTTTTTTCAGACCATTTTCTGTAAACCCTAGAGACGGTTGTGCGTAAAAATCCCAATAGATCAGAGTATTTTAAATACTCAGACCAGCCCGTCTGGCACCAACAACCACATTCAAAGTCACTTAAATCCTCTTTTTTTTTTTTTTCCATTCTGATGCTCGGTTTGAGCTTCAGAAAGTCGTCTTCACTACGTCTACATGCCTAAATGCATGGAGTTGCTTCCATGTGATTGGTTGATTAGCAATTTGTGTTACCAAGTAATTGAATAAGTGTACCTAATAAAGTGGTTGTTGAGTGTATATTATTTAGGGGTTCTAAGAAATTTTCTGGCAAAAAAAACATTAAAGGTTTAAGTCACTATAAAGCCCCTTTTTGTTTTCAAAAGCCCCAGACATTCCCTAAAAGCACCTCTGCCTAATGAAAACATCAACCCTTCATTTTTTTTTTTTTTTTTTCAGGACAAGTAGATTGTAATGAGATAAAAGTAGATTGGGACCTCTATATAGTCCCTTGGAGAAGTAGTTTAAAAAAAAAAAAAAAAAAAAAAAATTCTACACCCCCTGAATGCTTCCTGCCACACTGCAAAAATGGTTTGAGGAACACAACAATGAGTTTAAAGTGTTGAATTGGGTTCCAAATTATCCAGATCTCAATCCAATCGAGCATCTGTGGGATGTGCTGGAAGCCCCACCTCACAACTTACAGGACTTAAAGGAACTGCTAATAACGGGTTGGTACCAGATACCACAGGATTCCTTTAGAGGTCTAGTACAGGTTGAATGCACACTTTTACATTGAAGACTTTGATTGTTTGAACATTTTAAGGACACTTATTGCTGTATGTGTTAATGTACATTATTGCTTGATGTTATTTGTATTGAATTTAGTTACATAGTTACTTTGTTACATTTAAGATACATTGTTATTTAGTGAATATATTGAGTTGTAACATATAAGGCGGCCTTTTTCAATCAGGGTGCCCAGCACCCTGAGGTGCCTTCCTTCTTTTTTTTTTTTTTTTTTTTTCTTTTTTTTTTCCAGGGATGCCTTGACAAAATGCCTAAAAATTGGCTAAAAATTGTCTCCAAGCCAGATGGTGGCTCAAGCCTGCATTTTAGTTACACGTAAACCACACGTTTTCATTGTGCACCATTACAACTTTCTAGCGGCCTGCAACATAACAACCATTGATTTCATCATTTGATAAGGACATTGGACACCTGCATAGCATCCTTGCTTTCCCTTTCCCTCTCCATGAGCACTGGGGTCACACTAGAGAAACTGAAGAGAAACAATGGAATGCTAGTCAGTATGAGTGTGCAAAAGCGTGTTTGCTTTGGAACAATAAATCCCCTCTAACATCGGGTGTCCTACATGTGCAAATATTGCGGTTTTCTGTAAAACTATTAGTTTAGTTTTTTACATTTTGTAATGGGTGCCTCAGGATTGTGCAGAATTTTAAGGGGTGCCTTGACTGAAAAAAGTTTGAGAAACACTGTATTAAGGTATAATAAAGATGACTGAGATTGATCATTTCATATTTGTTTGTTAGAAGTAGAAAATATTCTATTTTTAAATGAAATTGTTACTGTTTTTTTCACCAGGTGTAAGTGGCTTAGGTAAGCCATAGATTATATAGTTTTCTTTCTTTTCACCATGGGTGGAATGAAAGAGAAAATTGTTCGCCTTCCCCATCAACATAGTCAGTGTTGATGGGGGATTCCCCCGTGTAGCGCTATTGTGTTCTGCAGGCGGGGAGCCTTCCCTGCCAACAGAATACAATGATCATTGCTAGCATATATAGCGCCGGCAGTAATTGCATGCAAAAAATTCAAGGCTGGTTGTACCGACGTCTATCGATCGACTTCGGTACAACCAGCCAGTACATAGTTGAATTGAAATTTGGCCAGTCCCTGCGGAACTGGCCAAGATTCGATCCACCTATGTCCAGCTTTAAGGTTAGGTTTACGAGTGCAAAAAACCTTTTTTTCAGTTTATAGGTATTTGAAAAGGAGGCTACTGTGCACACAAAGTGTGTGTTTGTGTGTGTGTGTGTGTGTGTGTGTGTGTGTGTACTTCCAGGGATAGTGTTTATTCACTTTTCTAATCAAACTACTGAGCCGCACCCCATATTGGCATAGTGTAACCCTTTTTTTTTTTGCTGTGGCACTCTCTACAAGTCAACATCTCCCTTTAATTCCCCTCATTCTGAAGTTGTAAAGTTGGGAGGTATGGATGCTACTTACATTTAAACATTTGTATTGCAGCACAGTTTATTGGCTCCTTGTGCTGCTTCTCCCTCTTTGTCTGATCTCTGCTGTACAAGGGGTAGCAGGCAACAGGCTGACAGCATGTCAAACTCAGAAACATGCTCTGCTTGCATTCAAAATAATAATAGTACAAATTAATACAGCTCTAAATAGGGGTTATAACCCTTCCTTACACAATCTAAAATAAACAAAGTTTTGCCTATAGTTCTACTTTAAAAATGTAAGGCAAAGAACCCTTCTAAAAAATGATCCAGTTGGCTCCAACAGGTTGAAAAAATTGCCTCCTAATCCCAAAGGTCATTGGATCCAAGAATTACAGTGATATTTTTCATAAATCTTTATAACCAGTTAAATTTTTTTTGTATTTTGAAGCAACCTACAGAGTTGGCTAGAACTAGCTCTTGTGGAAGTCTAGTCTACATTTTTACAACAATTTTACTGTAAAGAATCTGACAACAGTGATATTTAGCATAAATATTAATATCCAGTTACAGTTTTTGCATTCGAAATATCCCCAGCCCTTTAAACCTCCAAATAAATGCTGTATGTAGTAAAAATGTTGTATTGGGTTGTAAATGTATATGGGTCACTAGCTAATGCACATACTGTAGTTGTAACATCAATGTCCCTGGAAACAATTTGACGTGTTGACCTGAGGTCCCCTTACTGTGTTGTTATTTCTTGTAGGTAAAATGCTTCTAGAAATTGTTGCAGCTCTGGTGGTCGGGGCTCTCCTCTACCATTTAATCTTCAGAAAAAACGATGACACTTTACCAATGGGAGATGGATGGTGGGGTCCTGGGCAGAGACAAGATGATGAGAATGAAGATATCCATCCTTTCAAAATCGAGACTTCAGAAGAGGAGCTGAATGTAAGCTGATTACAAAAGCTGTATCTAATGAAAAGTACATAGTAGAGCATGTATCTGTGGATGTCATTGCGTTTCATCTGCTACAGTACCAGGTGGAAGGGTGCTTTTGCAGAGACACAGAGTCATAGACCATTAATGCAAAGGTCCTTTATGACAAATGGTTTGGTCCACTGTACACACAAGACTTGACTTACTTTCTGTGTATTTGTGTTGGTCTGGAACAGGGAAAGGAGAGGATGCAGCCAAGCCATATCCAAATGTTCTCTCTATTACTGTCACCATAGATTGGGTTAGGAGGATTGGGTGGTTCAGGTACAGGAGGTAACGGGATAGGTATGTTGACATGGATGTGTACATGTGTCAAAGTGTAACTTTCACCAAAACTTTATTTTTGTTTTGTAGAGAGCGGGGGAAGGCTTTTTATTGCTCTTTGGTTTCAGTTGCAGGGTTTTTCTCTTGTTTCCAACATTGTAGACTATGTTGTCACGTTAACAGGAAGTGATGTGAAATCTTCAAAGGGAGCACAGGTGGAGGTTCTAGTTTTCCCTTACCAATCTAAAAAGAAATGTTTTAATTACAGTGATGTGTCCTTCTTACTGATATTTAAACTCAATTCCTTTGGCATAAGATAAAACTTAACTGTGTCACTGTGTAGATCTACAGCATATTTGTTAGGGGATTCTATGTGTCCTCAGAAGAGGAAACCAAAAAACTTTTTCTAAAACTGGAATGATTCATAGACACTAAGAGGGTGATTAGATCTGCAGGTATGATTGAAATATCTTCTGATATCTACACTGGCTAGCACAATCCCAAATCTAAACTGTAAAAAGACAACTATTATAATTAAAGGGTAAGGAAACTTTGCCTTAAATTTTCAATGTTGTTTACTCAATGTCAACTTGATGCTTAAAGGGTGAGGAAACTTTCTGCAGACTTTCTCTACCCTTTTGCCCCCACCCCCTAAATGGGTCTAGCGCATCCTACTCTCCTCCCACCACCACCACCACCTTAACTAGCTATACTTAGTGTCTTAACTAGCTAGATCTTTATCCTACTACTTCTATGGCATTGTTTACATCCCTCTGTCATCTTCTTTATCTGAGGTCCTCGTCTGCACATTTTCTGGGCTGGTAGACAGATCAACTCCTATCCCTCTCCCAGCCCCATAGAAGTCTATCGGGCTGAACTGTGCAGGCGTAGACATCAGGTCAAGAAGTTCCCAGAGAGGTTTGAACGATGCTTCGGCTCTCTAAGTGAGATCTAGATAAGAACGATTTGTTTTAGGGGGCAAAAGGGCAAGGAAAGTTTATAGAACAGTATCCTTACCCTTTCAATTCTGTCAAGTTGACATTGACTTCTAGTAACCACAATGAAAGTTGTTGCCCAGAATGCTCTGTCTTCCCATCTATTCATTATTCTTTACCTTTCTTTATAAAGCCCTCTTGATCTTCTCAATTTTCAGCTATGAGTGTAGGGTTATCATCATACTGAATATTGTTGATGTTTTTTCCATCAGTCTTAAAACCCTTTTTCACCTCCTTCTCCAGCCCTACATCTCTATTCATTAACTCAGTATAGGGGATGAATAAGTATGATGACAATAGGTCCCCCTTAATTAAGCATTTTTACTCCTCATAGCACCTGTGTGTCTTCTGCAGGACTTGTTCCAACGGATAGATCAGACACGTTACACAGAGCCACTGGAGGGCAGCCGCTTCAACTATGGCTTCAACACCACCCACCTGCGGAAAGTTGTGTCTTACTGGAGAAATAAATTTGACTGGAGGAAACAACTGGAAGTTCTCAACCAATACCCACACTTCAAGACCAAAATTGAAGGTATGCCAAGTCTGAAAAAGAGCAGACAAAGCTAGCCTGAGAATCGGTAAGACTGTTTGGTTTTTGGTCAAAGTGATTTAACACTGTTAAAGGTTTATAAGCTTCAAGCAGAACTATGGCATCCTTTTGTGCTGCAGCACTTAATTATAAGTTCATCTGCACCATTTTCCCTTCATCTCTTTGCAAAGTGTTACAAATACTCATTGGTCCTGCCAGTGAAGTCCACCTCATGCAGCTTCCTGTGATGGAGGGATAATACTGCTGCGCTGCTACTGAATTTAAAGCAGCCTTTTACCTCATGAAAGCTGTGCCTGCTTGAGCTACAGCAGAATCAGAAGATCAGCATTATCACAGGCCTGTAGCTTGTCAATCAACACCTGGTCACACTTAGTCCTGCCCACTGCATCTTGGATTGACAGCACTGCTTCTGTTGCTGAAACCCTCCCACTGTGAGCTGCAGTGTCTGCGAGGGGAGGTGTATGAGACACAAAAGGAGGACTTGGCTCAGTCAGGGGAGGTAAATGAAGTCTTTATTTTTAAAACTTGTTCATCACAAAGCATTTGAATTTGAGACCTATTTTGAATGTCATACTGGAGCTTTAATTTGTAGTTTAAAATATTTGTAAACCTTGTTTGGCTTTCTAGTAAGGAATCCGATACTGCCTGTATGCTTGGGAACACACAGTGGGGTAGATTTACTAAAACTGTGCTCTCAGAATTTATGCAGATGCAGCGTGGGAAAGCGCAGTGATCTCTTGTGCGTTTCCTGTACCTCCATTGGAATCGCACTGTATTTGCAATCTGCTGCGGGTGTCAATATAAGTTAATGACACCCCAAAGGCATCGTAATTGCAGTTTGGTTTTCCCACACCAAATCAAATGGTACAAAATGATTGCGCCATGCAGTTGTGGTGTGGCTCCAACAAAAGGTAACTGCACTTTCTTTAGTGCAATTTAAACCCATTCAAAATTCACATGCAATTCACATGCAGTTCATAGTGTAAACATAGGCTTAGTGTGTTACTAAACCCAGGACCCTGCATTAACTATATCTGGTCTTCCACAGTACACAAAACATGGAAATGCTTTTACCACACACACAGCAAACAATGAACCCTTTGCCCCAGATGTTAACCCCATCCTGCCCAGTGTCATTAGTACAGTGTCAGTGTTTTTTTATTAGCACTGATCACTGTATTAGTGTCACTGGGGATGTCAGTGGCAGTCACTTCCCACCCAGTGTAAGAATGCTCGCCGCAGTCCTGCTAGGAGTCACTGGTCACCGCCATTACTAGAATTAAAGAAATAAAAATTCCAGTATATATACCGCCATTTGTAGATGCTATAACTTTCACATAAACCAATTAATCCATACTTATTGGGATTTTTTTTTCTAGCAAAGACATGTAGCAGAATACATTTTGACCTAAATTTATAAAGAAATTTTATTTATTTTTTTAATTAGATATGTTTTATAGCAAAAAGTAAAAAATATATTGTTGTTTTCTTCAAAATTGTTGTTCTTTTTTTTTTTGTTTATTGCGCAAAAAACTCAGAGGTGATCAAATATCACTGAAAGAAAGCTCTACTTGTGGGAAAAATAATGATGTAAATTTCATTTATGTACAGTGCTGCATGACAGCGCAATTGTCCATTAAAGTAACGCAGCGCTGTATCGCTAAAAATGGCCTGGTCAGGAAGGGGGGTAAATCCTCTGGAGGGCAAGTGGTTATTTATTGACCTGACTTTACAGTATCCTCTATTGCTGGGATAGATAAAGTCAAGTAAGACACAGTGATTAGGTCAGGTTCAAAAGCTGCAGATAACAACAATGATTTGTTGGGTGTAATTTGTTATCATAACATTAGAGGTTTGCTTCATTAACAATATTTTGGCGTGGCAATTTTAAGATTTTGGGTCCTCCTGGCCAACTCTGGGGATTTGGGTTTTCCTAGATGTTCTTTCTCCTGTTGTTGTATTTTGCATGATAAAAAATAAGACTCAGCAGTGAGAGTGGGAGGTTATTTTGGATATAAGTGATACCCCTATATTTAAAGTCATGATGAGGAAAAAACATATCATCCAGGCGAGCTTTACCCTCCTTGAGTACCAGCCTGCTAATACCCCTTCATGAACAGGCCATTTTCAGTTTTTAGTGCTGTGTGCTTGTTTGATTGACATTACAGGTACTCCTCGCTTAACGACCGAGTTCTGTTTAAACGACTTGGTCGTTAAGCGAATTGGTCGTTAAGTGAGGAACTGCATGTACTGTATACAGTAGTACAATATATGCATAGTATTTGACAATACAGTATTCTGAATAAGTAAAATAACAAGAAAGATCAAACTGAAAACTTCCACTTGTTTTAATTTGCATAGGTTGTGTAATTTACACACAGTACTGGAATGTTGTATTACAGAACATAAAGTTAGCAAAGTACAGTAGGTACATTAAAGCACCAAAAACCACAGTACTGTACTGTAGAGTGTACAACAAGGAAAAAGGATATTTAAAATACAGTAAACAAAAAAAAACAAAACAAACAAACAAAAAAAAAATAAATTCAGGCTATCATTTTAGTCAACGAATCCTTCAAAATCTTCATCTGTGTCATCATCAGAGCTATTATCAGGAGCTGCTGAAGGCCCAGGTAAGGTACACGATGGAGTAGAAATTGAAGCATTGGTAGTGCTTGGTGTAACTTTCCAAAAGTATCCACTTAGAGTGGTCTGCTTTGTCATTTTCTTTTTTTCTTCATATATTTCACGATAGCACTGTAAAACTTGACTTATTTGTCTTTCCACCTTTGTGAATCGTTCAACATTCGGATCCATACTCTCTAGTTGTAACATAGCTGCATTCACTTTTGAGAACACACCAGCTACTCCCTTCACAGTAAACTTCTTTGGTACTTCTTCCATGTTTTCATTTTCTTCTTCCTCCTCCGCCAGGTTCTGCTGTGCTTCCAACTCTATTAAATCTTCGGTAGTTAGCTCTCCCTCCCTGTATTGCACTAATTCCTCAATATCTTCCACCTCAACTTCTAAATTAAGCACTTTAGCAAGTTCCATAGTTGTTTTATTTATGGCATCAACATGTTCATCTTTCTCAAAAACTGCAACATTGTTCACAAAACATTTTAGGCATTTTTTCCATATGCCTTGCATACACTTTTCTGTCACTCCCTTCCAAGTGGATTCAATGTTATTTATGCAGTCTAAAATGATCTCCAGAAATCACGGAGAGTTACTTCATCATTTTCTGTTGCTGCTACAGCTTTGGAAAAAGTTGTGCGTAAATAGTATGCTTTAAATGTGGCTATGGCCCCCTGGTCCATTGGCTGAAGGATTGAAGTTGTGTTTTTAGGTAGATATACTATCTTTACATCTGGGTTTAGGTCATCAAGATACTGGGGATGGCCTGGAGCATTATCAAGCAGGAGGATAATTTTAAAAGGAATGCCCTTTTCTTGACAATAATGCTTCACTGAGGGTATGAAGCAGTGGGTGAACCAATCCTCAAATAAAGCTTGAGTCATCCATGCCTTGTTATTTGCTCGGTAGTAAACAGGCAGTGTGTTCTTTCTAACTCTGCTCAATGCACGTGGGTTTTCAGAGCAATAGATAAGCAAAGGCTTCAACTTAAACCCGGTAACATTTCCTCCCAACAACAATGTGACCCTGTCCTTAAATGCCTTAAAGCCAGGCATTGTCTTAGCTTCTTTGTGTATATAGGATCTTTCAGGCATTTTCTTCCAAAAAGTTCCAGTTTCATCCACATTGAAGATCTGTTCTGGACAGTAGCCACCTTGCTCTATGATTTTATCAAAATGGTCAACAAATTTTTCTGCTGCTTCTACATCTGCACTTGCTGCCTCACCACTGACACTCCGATTATGCAGGTTGAATCTTCGAGAAAACCGTTGAAACCATCCGTTACTTGCTGTAAAGGTTTCGGTTGAACCGCTGCGTGCTTGCAAAGTCTCAAAGATATTGAGTGCCTTGGCTTGAATTATTGAAAGGTTCAATGGCATTCTTTTTTGAATCTGGTCATCAAACCAGATAGCCAGTAACTTCTCCATATCATGAATTAGGCCTTTCCGCTGTCTAGTTATTATGGCTTTAAAGCCTGTTGATGCTTTCACTGCCTCTTTTACTCTATCTTTATCCTTAAGGATTGTTGAAATGGTTGAATGTGCCAGATGCAAGTCATGTGCTATCTCATGGACTTTTTTGCCACCTTCATAATCCTTTGATCTTTATTTTCTTCTCAAGATCAATAGTCTTCCTTTGTTTCTTGGCATTTTCTGGTGCAACCTTGCTTTTCCTTTTTGGAGACATCTGGGGTAAAGTACAATACAGAATAAGGCACCCAGATCACACACAACTTGTATGCTTGAAGAAAAAGCTTTATAAATAGTTACACTGTACTGTACATACTGTAATGTACTATATCTGTACTGTATACAGTATTGTCAGACTACTGTGCTGTATTGTGTGGGCCTGAGAGAGATCCTGGACTGTATACAGTACAGTGCAGTATAGCTGTTTATAAAGTTTTTTTTTCTTTGCATCGCAAAAAAATACAGTAATTTACAGTACTGCTGAAATGTGAATACTGACCAAGAAACCAGCAGTACGGACCTCAGAATAGTGTACAATTTCAGCCATGAATGACTTTGAGACGCAGGGCCGCTACCACGTTTAGCGCGTAACCACGTTTTAGCACGTACCGTCGGTGAGATGGTCGTAAGTGTGAGCGGTCGTAACGGTGAAGAGATGGTCATAAGTGCGAGTGGTCGCTAAACAGGTAGGTCGTTAAGCGAGGAGTGTCTGTACTTGGTCATGCACCAATGGACCCAAGTAAATTGTATATTGTTTTTTTAGGCAGACAGAGCTTTAGTTTGATGGTACTTAATGAACACGGTTTTATTTTTTACTATATAAAGGGAAAAGGCTAAACATTTGAAAAAAAAAAAAATATGATGTTCTGACTTTGT